TTCCAGATGGGTTTTCTCAGCAAGTTTATACACATCTGCTAAGGCCATGGCTTAATGCATTGTTTTTTTTTTAGCATGTTCTTCGTATCTTCCATGGTTATTTGTACAAGAAAGGAATAAAAAAATTGACTATTGCACCTTTAAACAATCAGCTCAAACAGGCTAATAATTCTAAGACCTCAATTAATAAATATGTGTAATAACTTTAGTCAAGGTAGATTGTGAGTTTCCATCACTGTGACTGTAAAAATGGATTTTTGATGTCTATGCTTCACAGACGCCCTGGGGCTCTCTCAGACCCCGCTTTGAGAACCGCTGGTCTAGATGATCTTGTTGTCCTGTTTTCCTTTCTATAAAATAATCAGAGGACATTTCAAACTTTGTCTCTAGCCAGCTTTGACCAGCTTTAACCAGTAAGCTGTAGGTTTATTTTATGTGAATGGATGCTCTTTTATGGACAGAGAAGACAAATGGTTTTGAAAGAGGACTAAAGAAGGCCATCTATGCCAAACTGAACCAAACCAAGTCTGACCAGAGAGATCATCTATCACCTACATGGCTTCAGATTCTGCTATCTGATTAATCTTCTGTTATCACAGATGTGAATCATTCAATAGAAATAACGAAGATCCCAAGGCAAGTGGAAACATCTCTGTGCTTGTAGGTTGCCATGAGTCACTACTACGTGACACTAGAGGCAACCGAAAGAGCAAAAACCTCCATATTGTGATAGACGATGATCAGTTTATCACACTAGTCAGAACATTTCTTTTCAGAACGTGTTTTCCTAAAATGCTCTGGAAGCTCATACAGCCCTATTTCTGTACTATACTAATAAACGTTTCACTCTGCAGTTCACTGTAAGAAGGACAATGGAACTAGATTTCCAGAAACAGAAGCACAACACACTGAAGAATGGATCTGTGAGTGACTCTTGAATACCCATAATGCAACAGTGGCTACCATTTTGGTTACTGCACTAATTGTATCCTATTCAACAATTAGTGCAAGCATTTTTTTTCCCCACACATATTTATTATACCGCAGTGCTTATAAATGCTCGATTCTGATTGGTCAGAAGGTGTTGATTCATTTTCAACAGCAGTAGCTCTGACAGTAGTTCCAGTTACAACAGCATGTGTAAGCATTTCTGTAATTGTTTTTTTTAATGTCATTTATTCAGCAGTGACTGTAACACACACTCCTGCAGTGACCAATGTAACATGGAACAACACCATCACAGGTAAAAAAAAAAAATAATTACAAAAAAAGTATATATATATATATATATATATATATATATATATATACACACACACACACACAAAATATTGGATTATTGGTGATATATAGTCTACAGTCTAAATACAATGCATCTAGGCTACATTATATGTTTATAATATTATGAATATATTAGATTTGAACTATATTTCTATTTATTTCACACTGGTTTGGTCACCATAAACTAAATAAATTTCCCAAAAAACATTTCCTTTTGTTTTCTGAGGTTAAGGTATATATGTGGGTGTAGTATGTCAATACACAAGTCAATGGAAAATACACCAAAAAAGACAGACTTAGAAGTGTGTGTGTGTGTGTGTGTATACTGTGGGTGTGCTGGCCTAATTTATCTCTTTATGTATCATTATCGTTTTCAGTTTACTTTCCAGCACCTACAAAAAATTTTTTAAATTGTTTTATGAGTCACATTAACATTAATTAAGGTGGTTTTTTTTTATTTTATACCAATACATTAATGAAACATATAAAATATCTCACGTATCTTTCATTTACCAATTTAATTTTAAATTTAATCAATTTAACATAATGATAATGATGTTTGCTGTAGTTTAACTAATCATAGTTTATTGTAGTTAACTGATTGTACTTTAGTTCACTGTAGTTTAGCTAATCCTCATTTAGTTCGCTGTAGTTCAGCTAATCCTCATTTAGTATAATGTAGTTTAGCTAATCCTTATTTAGTTAACTGTAGTTTAGCTAATCCTTATTTAGTTAACTGTAGTTTAGCTAATCCTTATTTAGTATAATGTAGTTTAGCTAATCCTCATTTAGTATAATGTAGTTTAGCTAATCCTTATTTAGTTAACTGTAGTTTAGCTAATCCTCATTTAATATAATGTAGTTTAGCTAATCCTCATTTAGTTAACTGTAGTTTAGCTAATCCTTATTTAGGTCGCTGTAGTTCAGATAATCCTCATTTAGTATAATGTAGTTTAGCTAATCCTTATTTAGTTAACTGTAGTTTAGCTAATCCTTATTTAATATAATGTAGTTTAGCTAATCCTTATTTAGTTAACTGTAGTTTAGCTAATCCTCATTTAGTATAATGTAGTTTAGCTAATCCTTATTTAGTTAACTGTAGTTTAGCTAATCCTCATTTAGTATAATGTAGTTTAGCTAA